CTCTCTTTTGTAAATAAGTTCCTTTATCTTTCTTTTTTTTTTTTTTAGATTCCACAGGTAAGTGGTATCATGTTTTTCTTTCTCTTTCTGGCTTACTTCACTTTGTATGACAATCTCCGGCTCCATCCATGTTGCTGCAAATGGCATTATTTTATTCTTCTTTATGCCATTGCTGTTCTACCCAGGAAAATTTGATACCTTGTCTAGGGTTTTACTGCCTGAGGATGCTACTCAGATAGATGCAGCTAAAAAATAAATTACATCTCTAACTGAAATTTGAGCATGCTGCTTGTTCTCTGTGATTGAGCTAAGCCGCTAAAGCTGATCCATCACAGTGAGAACCAGCTCTTTCCGTCCCAAAGCTGATGAAGGGAAAAGCCGTAATTTCTCATGTGTGATTCATGTCCACCCTCTACCTGGTGTTTTATAAATGTATTGTCTTTACTGTCTTTTAAGTGTCCATGCCTGGGAGGGTGCCTTCCTCTGTTTTGTAGAATGCCAAGTGATACCACTGTGATATATAAATGATGATAATTAGAAGACAGCCTCAAATTATTTGACATCCAGATTGAAGGGGGAAGTGGTACTTTTTTTATACATAAAATACCCTATAATTTGGTTAGGAAATGGCATTCAAGAAAAAAGCGTATTGCTTCCTGCCAGACATGGATGGCTCAAAGCTGCTTGTGTGGGAAGTCAGATAACACAGATGGTGCCATGGGGCATCAGATCTGGTCTAGCCTTCAGCACTTACCCCCCGCTGTGTGCATTAGGAAATAAGATGGGCAAGCCAGGGGCTAAAGAAGAGGGAAGTCATTTTTACCTGAAACTCCACAAAGTATTTGATAATTAAAGTGGCATCTTTTTAAAAATGTCAAGAACCAAGGTTTCCAGAATTCGGCTCATCCCAGCCTGGTCTGCCTTAATGTTGCCTCTGTAGTTCTCAAGGAATCCTTCCTCTGTCTTGGCTCCTGGTGAGTGAATTTGAGACCATTTTGTTTGCTTAGTCGAAGGAATATGGGACCCCAAATCAGAACAGTGGGGTTCAGTTTCTGACCTGGCCACATAATAGCTATGCGGCTTCGGGCAACTAACCTCCAAACTTGTTTCCTCCTCTGTACAGTAGGAGCAATTATATCATAGAGAACACAATATACTTAGATTATACTAGGTCACATCCACTTGCCAGTCTTTGTTCTAAATAATTTAACCTCGCCATAGCCATTTAATAGATATGGAAACCCAGGCTGAGAAAGATTAAGTAACTTGCCCAGAGTTACACAGCAAGTAAGTGATATACAAGTGAAAGATTATCAAAGTTATCCTCAGATCCAGAATGCATTGAAGATAAGATATGAGGAGGGACAGCAGTGCTGACCAGGAGGTGGCCTAGCAGCCCTCCGATGAGGGGGAGGGGTACGGGGGAGGGAGAGCTGCAGAGCCTTTTCCTCGAGCCCTTGGTCTGCCTGCTCCCTTCCTCCTCCGCCCTGCACCCAAATGTCCCTGAGTTTTATTATGTTTTCCATCAGTCCCTTTCAGATCCACTTTTTGTTGGTTTCTCATCCCAGTTCACCTCACTTCCATCTCGGCCTTTGTCGTGCTGATGCTCACACTGGCATCCCCAGTATCACCTCTAGTCCGTCTCTCGTCCTGTTGCAATAGCCTTTGGTCTTCTGGCAACTCCTGGGCTGGTCTGTCCTCCAGCCCATGCCAGTCTGCCTGTACCGTGGAGCATCCCTGTGCAAAAACCTGCAACTCCTCGCTATGTATCAAAGTAAAGGCATCACTCAGCCAGGGTCCTGTGACACCCTGGGTTGTAAGAGAAGGATAACCAGCTCAGACTTGCTGCAGATGGGGCTGAATCCAGGGGCAAGGGTCATGTCATCAGGGTTCAGTTCCTCTGATGTCCACTTCTGTTTGAAGGACATGAGACACCCCCTGCCCTCACCCCGTCCCCAGCAACAGCTCAAGGCTCACACCTTGCCAGGTGAGCTCCCCAGAGAAAGACTCGGGCCACCTGCTCTTCCTGAGTCACTATGGCCAGGAGCTGGGCCCAGTTAAACAGGTACAGGCCGCAGTTGTCCACACTGCTTCCCATTCACAGCCCTCTCCAGCCTGGCTGTCATGCTCCCTGCCAGGGTTCCCCAGCCCTCCCTTCTCTGCGTGCTTCACTCACCATCCCCCTGAAATGTCAGCTCTGTGCTTTTCCGACTCTGCCTTTGGTCATGCCAGTCTCCCCCTCATGTTGTCTCCTGCCAGCTCTCTGTTTATCAAAGTTGTACCAATGTTTCAAGGCCAAACTGAAATGTTTTCTACAGAGCCTTTTCTTGACCTGCCACTGGTAAGAGGTCATTTCTTCCTTTTCTGCCAGGTGTCCATCCCATGCTGTCTTTCGCTGCGTTACTAACCACCGTCTTGGTAGGTGGTGCCACTCCATGCCTTCCTGTGGGTCTTCACGTGCACAAAGCACGTTCATGCACGTTGTTGCCTTTGCTTCTATGCAGACACCTGTAAAGTAAGCAGGGCAGAGGTGCTTTTATTCCGGTTTTGTAGCTCAGCATTGCTTAAACACCAATCATGCTCCAAGACTTGCGCTGGGTGCTGACATGAGAAACGTTAATGTGATACTATCCAGGAGCTTATTATTCTGATTTTACAAATAAGGAAATTGAAGCCTATGAAATAAGTGGTCAAGTGTCCCACTGACCATTTTTTCTAATTTCTGGAACACGCATGCTCTTTGCTGCTTTTGCAGATGCTGTTCCCTCCTCCTGGAACATTATTATTTCCACATTCACCTGACCAAGCCCTGCTCATCTTTAAAATGTCACTTTTTTAGGGAGGCTTCCACTGAGCGTCCCCTCCCCGCAAATCTAAACCAGACATACTGTTCTGTCTTCTAGTATGCCCGTTTTTCTTCATAGTGCTTATCACAAGCTGACTGCAATTTATTTTACTTTAGTAAATGCATTTGTTTAACGTTTCCCCACTAGACCAGACATCCCACAAGGACAGGGATCCTGACAATTGTGGTGACACCTGAACACTCAGTGCTTGGCAACCACACCAGACACACAAGGGGGACTCAAGAAATACTGTGTGGGGTGAATGGATGCAAACATGAGCCGTTCACACAGCTCACAAGTACCAGGACAGAGGCTCGAACTCAGATTGCCCAAAGCCCTGGTTAACTCAACTCTGACTCTTATGTGCCCATGAGCAGCCTCCCCTACTAAGTTTAAGTCATCACCTAAATAGGAACTGGGGTCCTAGCTCTGTATAGGAGTTCCTAGGACACTGGGGGCCAGGAGATGGGAGACTGAAGCTGGCGTATCAGGCGCCCACACTCCTGCGCAGGCCCCAGGTGAGAGGCAGTGGAATGTGTGCAGTGGCCTGTGGAACCTGAACTTGCACCCTGATTAAGATCCAAAATTACTACTACCCTTCTCTGGAGTTCTTGGAATAAGCTTTCCATTTTGGTAGGTCTTGAAAAGATCTCACTTGTATTTTCCTGTCACATCATACTGGAACACTTTCATTATGCGTGAAAGCAACTTTTATTTCCTCTTCACCAGAGTGAGCAGCCTGTTACTATAGCAATATTGAAAGCATTTTGAGGTATTTTTATACAGTGTCTTATACACATTCCCTGTAAACTGTACGTCGAGGTTAGTAGAAATGGGCTATACCATCCAAATTGTCTCTATTATATCTTTATATCCTTTATTAAACTTTTACAAACTGCTATAATTTATTTCCTAAAATTTGGACCTCTCTTATTTTTAGGAAAGAATAATTTGGGTGGGGGCAGTTCCTAAATACATTTGACCTATTGAATATCAATAATAGCTCTGAAATAACTTGCATTTTGTTGTGCCATAAAGATATCATTGCTTCTTGAGATCTTTTTCCAGAAAACGGGGATGCAATTATAGATTCCTTCTGTGTCTGTAGGGTCTGGACAGCTTCAAAGTGAAACAGAAACTCTTCTCGGGGAGCCAGGAGCCAACAGCCTCCTTTCCTGTGCCGTATGACCTGCCTCCAGAGCTGTATGGAAGTAAAGGTGAGACACGTGGAGGGAGACATGGGTGTGTGTACCAAAGCAGGAACACACGGGCCCAGGGGAAGCCACTGGGCTCTCAGTGGGAGCCTGGCTCCTGGAATGCTCTGGAAGCACAGGTTTGCACAGGCCCCTTTGCTGCCCTGCCACTGGAGCTCAGCTCTCAAACTGGCTGGTCTTGCAACTTCTCTGCACTCATTTTATTGTTGAGGACCCCAAAGAGCTGTTATTTACATGGGTTTTTATACCTGTTGATATTTATTGTATCAGAAAGTAAAACCAGTTAATTTTTCATTATTAATTAGCTTTAAGATAATTATATCTATATATGTGTGTGTGTATACATGTGTATATATATATAAATATATATATATAAATGATTATTTCCAAAGAAAGTTAGTGAGGAAGATGGCATTGTTTGCATTTTTTGCAGACCTCTTTACCATCTGGGTGAATAGCTGGATTCACGTAGCCCCTCTGTTGTGATGTCACATGTCACGTAGCCTCTGTACACTCATGAGAAACTGACTGACAAATAATGGCTTAGTGTTATAATGAAAATAATTTTGAGTTTACAAGCATCCCCACCACCCCCTTAAAAAGGCGTCCCCCAGGCCACGCTTTGAAAACTGCTACGCTCGATAGGACTTTAAGGGCAGCGACCAAGGACTTTTCACAGCAGAAAGTCAGTGGCAAGTCGGTGGAGGTTCTCACTGTGTTTAGAGGAAGGCGGCACCATCCACCAGCTGTCTGAAAGTCTTTGAGGCAGGTTCACACATAACCTAACTCACACAGGAAGAGGTGTATAATCGGAGCGAGTTTATTAGTTTAAACTGGCAGCGAATGCTGAATGTGAACGGGGAAGATGTGGGTTTGGACTGGAAAGTTTGATTGAGGTTCTTCCATTAATACTCCAAAATCTCAGATTCCCTAATAGCGTCGGCCTTGCCCAGTGGGTCCCTTCCTTCCCTGGACAGTGGTTGGGTTCTAGCCACCTCCCCGCCTTCACTCGCCCTCTGGCTTTCGTGGTGAACCAAACCTGCCGCTTCTGATGGACCCATTTATGCATCGGCACATCTGACGAAGCTCACCCCACCTCATGCCATCCTGTGCGCCATCCTGCCTCCTGCAGGTGACTGTTGTGTGGAGACTGACTTTGGGGAGGCATTCTTGCTCCCTTCTTTCCAAGCCATGTGCACTTTTCTGAGTCCTCTAAATGTGTTGTATATGCACGCATATTCATTTTTTACCAGTAGGATTATATAAGTTTTATCAGAATTTCGAGGAATCTGTGACCACTCCTCCCCACCCCCAACACACACACACAGGAAACGTTGCTTTAGATCCAGGCCATGTTTATGCACCAACCCAACAGTGAATTATGTGACCTCGGGCAGCTGTTTGTTTCCTCTAGGCCTTAATGTCATACATAGTTCACTGTTGCAGAGTGACCGAGAGAGAGCTGTGAAGCACTGAGCACGGCGTCCAGCTCCAAGTCAGCAGTCAGTTCCCGTTAGCCATTGTTCCTGTTACTAAAAGTCAGGGTCAGTTATGACAGTGGATTGATGTCACTCCTCATGACATCACGGTGAGCTGGCGGCAGGAAGAGCCTGAGGCTTGTGCAGGAGAGTCCCTAACGAGGTGTGATCCGGAGACCTTCCCCTCCTTTCTGGCTTTGTGCTCACCTTTGTCTTTTCTTTCTTTCTCTGGTCTTCACAGTCCGTCCTTCTTTTTCCTTCATTTTTTTTTTTTTAACGTAAGTTCTCCTAACTAAACCTTGAAAGTGGGGACTCACTGTGATGGTCATAGGCTTAACCTCCTGGAGTTTGGCCTTATACCTACCACCCCCAGCCTGGAACCTTGGCTGGGACTCCACCCCCTCCCTTTAATCCTATCGTCCAGAAGACTTTGAAAGCAAGCAGGGAAGAGAGAGAGGAGTCTTAAAAATACCCTGAGGTCCCCTCAGTTCCAACAGAAAAAACATTCCCAAGAACTTAAAAGTTTACAACTGAGTAGTGGCTTAGACTGAGTAATGAAAAGAATAAACCTTTCATTTGGCCAGCAGGCAGAAGTTTTCCGTTGTTTAGCTGACTTTTCTATTATTTACACATTTGCTTTGAAATGCATACAAGTGAGACTGGAGCCTCTTTTTTTTTTTATTGGTACTGTTTCACCTTCCACACTGCTTCAGTGGCACGTAGATTAATGCCAGTGATTCAGACATCACCATTTCCAATAAAGCCAACATTCAGGGTTAAAAACATCTTACCAAGATTTGGAAAAGTTGCATGGTTAAGAACATTGCAAAAGCACTTCGTTTGAATAAGTGATGTCCAAGCTACTGTGACGTGTAAGATCTCATTCAGTAATTTTAAAATCAGGAGACTGTACGAAAAGCTTAGCAGAGAAACACCTTGCTGTGAGCAAATCCCAGTTCAGTGCGAGAGACCACCAGGCTTCCTGACGCCAAGAAATTGGTCAGATAAAGCAAAAGCAAAGACTCAGCTACAGGTATGCCTTGCTTTGTGCAGCGCTCACTGCTTATTCTCTCTGCGCAGGTATGTCACTGAGAACCTACAGTGTGTTGTAGGTGCTTGGAATCTATCCGTGAACAAGAGAGACACAGATCCTTGCCCTCAAGTTTATATTACGCCTCATGAAAAGTTATGCTTAACCAAACCTGTTACCAGGAAAAGGGAAATAAGAATTACCTTGGTTCTTAGTCACCCGAAAAAAAAGAATTTTTAGCAAGAGACAGAAAGCGTGGTATAAGCAAGATTTTTATTAGTAAAGTAAAAAAAAAAACAAAAGATAGTACACTCCCAAAAATTTGGAGCGGGCCAATCCAAGACAGGAAAAAATGGCACTGTTCCTTTGTTTTTCTGTCTTACATCCTGGCTTGGAGGCGTTTTTTTTGTGTGTGTGATTGATTGATTAGCGGCTCAGGTTCTTTGAGTGATCAGGCTGACCGACAGCTCAGGTTCCTGTGCACTAGCTAGCACGTCCATCCCCTTTTGGGCAGGTTCTTACCCATGAAGCACACAGAGAAACCTACTGGAGGGGGCTCAAACTGCAATGTTAATTACATTATAATGAGCATTGGGTCAAGTTATGCCGGGTCCTTCTCTTCTGTGCAGCTGCAGCATTTAATTTCAGCTGGCTTCCTTTGCTGGCCCTCGTTTAGAGAAAGAAAAAGTTTTTGGAGTCCCTTATCCTGAGTGCAGACGTACGGTTATTTTCTGGGTTGTTCCTTTCCTCTTCCTCTCCCCCTACCCAGTGCTCATTTCTATCTAACTGCCTAACAAACCCATTTTGCTAATAGGAAATGTATTTTTATAAGAAAACCTTTCTAAAGCACAATCACCAACATTTTAAATCACACACTATACCATGTATGCTACAGCCGTGGGGGGCTAAGTTCTGGTGTTACAAAGAGATGTGAGGTGCACCCAGTCCCTGACCAGAGGGATACACAGAGAGGACCCCCGCCCCCCCCCCACCAAGGCTGTCCCCTTTCTCTGGCCTCCTGTTGCAGCCCTAAGCTAGCCTCACCTGGACTCTCATCTTGACTGTGCTGTTGTTTTATGTCCCTTCCGCTCTCCTCCCCCGGACGCCCCCCTCCATGCTGCTGCCAGGCTCATCAGATCACTCCGTCTCCTGTTTTAAGTCCTTCCATCGTGTTCCAGAAAAAAAGTCCATCTCTCACCCTTTAGCCTCACATGGCAAACAGATTGTGTCAAGATCACCTTTAGAACGTGACGAGGATGCAAGTTGCCAGGCCCCAGGCCAGCTTGCTGGGGGGTGGGTCCCGGAAAAATATGCCAGCAAGTCCCACATCGGCCCGGTCAGGGAACAGCCACGTGGACATGCTGGACTTCAGGGTCCAGAGGCAGGGCACGCCCACTTGTCTGTCTGCCCCGCTGGACCTAGACTTGAGAGGCCCTTCATCTAGCAGAGTACCTGGCCTCTGACCATCACTCAGCAGGTGTTACATACACAGGCACGACTATCGTGAGGCAAGTTGTTCTCTCATGGGACAGTTGAGGATAGACTAATCTAAGCCAGCAACTGTTAATGCTGATTTCCAGTAGTAATGGGTAGAGCACAGCGGAATCACAGCCCCCTTCTTTTCACCTCCCTGTTGGCCTTCTTTGTGGCTTTCCCCCAAGGGAGTGGAGGGCCTTCCAGCCAGCCTGGGAAGGGATCAGCCCGTGAAATGCAGACATTTTGCTCATTAATAAAGCAGAGTATCGACATTTGCCAGCTGGGTGGTTACCAGGTCCTCACTTGGTCATTGTTGGCTAGTTTTGAGGGAGAGGAGTAATTATCCCTCAGTATCCTCGGGGGATTGGTTCCAGGACCTGCCTCGGATACCAAAATGCACAGATGCTCAAGTGCCATATCCATCTTCCGTATCCTCGGTTCTGTATCCACGGAATCAACCAACCACTGTATAGTATGCATTTATTGAAAAAAAAATCCACATATAAGTGAACCCTCGCAGTTCAAACCCAAGCTGTTCAAGGGTCCACTCTGAATGCAGTGGTGGTCTTTAAGGTACAGACTCACTGGCAAATGTCTGCATCACAGATCCTGCACTGGTGAGGAGTCTCTGATAGCTATTCACATGGCAGAGGTCGGAGTGCCCCTGCCTCGGGGATGAAGCAGAGCTGACATTACCCAGCAGAGCAGTCTTCAGGGGAAGGGGCAAATACAGGAAGTTCAGCCTCAGAAGATGGTGTTTCCAAAGGCAGAGAACGGGTGCTTTCCGAAGGCCAGTGAGTAGCGAGGGAGTCAAGTGTCCAGCCCTGCCAGACCCTCACCCTTCAAGAAACAAGCAGGTAAGGCAGGCCCAGGTTTATGTTCTCTAAAAAGTGTGGTTTCTTGCTTTCAGACCATCTCAAGGCCAAAGACAAGAGAACAGGGCGCCGACAGCTTGTTGCCGTCTTTGGCTTGCTTCTCCTGCGCATCCTGCTGGTGCTGCCGTTTGTGCTGGCTCTGTGATTATTCAACACAGACAGCGAGGCTGGGCGGAAGGTAGCAGCAGATACCATTGCCTCCCAGCTGCCATCTGCCTCTGCTCAGGAGGAGGAGAGAGCCTCCCCCAGGGCAGTTGGCGGGGCTGAGCAGCCGTGGTGGATGGTCCACCTCCACTGACCTGTTAAGAAGCCAGTGTACTGTCAGCCCTCAACCCTTCCGAGTTGTTTTGTCGTTTCGTATTTATCAGGGTGGTGATCTAGGGATTTAGTTGTAATCCTTGCAGTGAATTTACGCTCTACCGACATTGCTGTGGTTATTCTGAAACAGTTTGACTCTGGCAGTAGTGATGTGTGGTGAAAGCAATTTGTTCCAATTTTTTTCAATTCCTGAGACGTAAGTCTAAAGGAAGAAAAGCTCACGTTTATCGGGCACCTGCAACACACCGGGAACTTTCACAGACGCTCTCTTGTCTGTGCCTCACAATAATCCTGGGAGGTTGCTAGTGTAATTAACTCCCATTTCCCAGATGGGGAACCTGAGGCCAAAATCCAAAAGCCTTCCCCAGGGTGCAGAGAAGGATGAAGGCAGGATTCAACCTAGGTCCTCTTCCCGTTGTGCCGTACCGCGGCGTGTTGCCCCCTTCGACGCCGGTCTGCAGTCATCATGCAGAGACCCCCATGCCTCATCAGTTACTAGCCTCAGGGTACAGAACAAAAACATTTCAGGGATGTGATACTGAACCTCTTGGTTCTGTGCAACCATGACCAGCTGAGAGCAGAAAAGTGGCCCTTGACTAGCCATTGTGACCGTTGGTTTTTCCAGCTTCTTAAGAAAATAATAGCTGCCCTTGCTTAGGGTCTCTCCTTGCTGGACACTGCGCCTCGCACACTACACGGATTTCTCTCGTTTAATCCTCGTGACAGCTCCACGTTGCAGGTAGCGATAAGGACACTGAGGCTCAAGGAGGTGAAGAGACTTGTCAACGTAAGCAGCGAGCCAGCGTTCACCCCGGGCGTCAGCCTGCTCCCACGGCCACTCCCTTGTGTCTTAACACGAACCTTTCTTAGAAGCTGTTGCCCGAAAGGGCTCTCAGCTGGGGTTGGTTCAGAAACGGCTCTTCACGATTTGTAGACTCCGGCCCATGGGTAGTTTATCCTATCAGGTGAGTGAATTTTTTGTAATCCATTTCAAGTATTACACTTACATAATATGTTTACCCCCACAGATCGGCCATGGATTTGGAACATTCCTTATATCAAAGCACCAGATACACACGGGAACATGTGGGTCCCCTCCTGAGCAAGTTAAAGCACTGTGACGTTTAGGTGCAAGACACTGAGCCCCAGCCATTGGATGTTCTTGTTGGTACAGAACAGTCGCTTCCCTGAATGTTTTATCTGCAGAACTACAGATCTCTGTGTAGAGGTCAGTCTGTCAGACACGGATGTTGGCTGTACTTTTAATGTTCATTATTGACATTCTCACTTTAGAAAAGGTAAATATTTTCTTAATTCCCTTTTCTATGCTTTGGAGTAAAAGCTATTAAACTTCACAATGTTTAAAGAATATACAGACATGAAATTACCCTCCTAGCGATGTGGACTCTCACGCTGGGGTCAGGCCGACTGAGTTGTGCCCCGTCAAAAGTGCTCTTCATTCAGCTGAAACTTTTCAGAGCAGGACTGCGGCCTCTTTCAGCAGCCCTCTGTCAGCTTTGAGCCCCGAGGTTGCTGGACAGGGGTCGCATGTGTCGCTGAGGCTGGCGTGGCTCCCCAGGTGCCATGAACTGTGTTGACCGTCGTCACCCTGTACTTCGCACGATGTACCCCCCCCCCCGGCCCCGGGCTGGCTGCCTCGCCGCTTGCGGATGGACCTCTCCTCGCCCATCCCACACAGTGGACGAGTGTCTCTTCCAGCCCCACAGATTTCCAGAAAGGACAGCTCGCAGAATCACACTAAGTATGATCACACAAAGCACACAAGTATTTTACTTCGAAGAGACCCTGAAAGGTGAACTCGCTTGGTGCCTTCAATTCACAAGTGAGGGAACTGAGCAGTTTAGGGGAGTTTAGGGTTGTCCCCGAGGTCCCGGCTGCCGGGTCAGAGCTACGCGTGTCTTCCTGCTTTGTGTCCGTGTGCCCGGGTTCCCCTCAGATAGTGTTCGGCCTCCTCGTTTTCCTCTGCGTGAGGCTCATTTCTAGTTTGTCATCAGCTTCTTGTTATAATTTAGAATAGAGTTGAATGTTAATTTTGAAAGTTTTTTTTTTTAAATACTAGTTTTTCACACTGTTCCTCAGAGGCCAAATGCTCACGTCGGGAAGCTGCCGGGGTGGGGAGGGTACTGGCGGGGGCGATCCTGTGACGGGGGCTGGGGGTGCCGGGCTGAGGGCTGTCCTTCCTTCCTCCCGTCAGAGAAGCCCTGCAGCATCTGTTTTGCATTTTGGGTTCCGTAAAAGATATTATCTGGGTGGTTTGTTTGGAAGGTGTTTTGTTTTGCAATGTTTAAAAAAAAGAAAAGTTAAAAAGACACTGGATTCATTTAACCAGTTCATTCCGCAGGAAAGAAAAGTAAAGCTTAAGCCTTTCTGGACCCTGCCTTCTACTTCAGGAACGTTTGAACCCTACATCAGATGAGCCCAGCAGCCCTGGAAGGCAACAGGGAGGGCGTCCTGAGCTGGCAGAAGAGGCCGACATAGCGGTGCAGCCAGCAGTCTGAGGTGGGTGCCCACAGGACTGTGGCCAAGGACCTCGGATTCTCACCAGCACGGCAGTCCCATCCTGGAAGGGGGCAGCGCAAGCCCCCAGGCAACGTCACAGCTGCCATGGGGGGTTGGGTGGCTCTGAGGGGCAGGACCCAGAAAGCCCGGGCTGCCCGGGACCCAGCCAGTCAGGATGCCCGGGGCAGATGGAAGGCTGATGGGCTGGGGTACATCGCTCATCTGACCCACATGACTGCAAAGTGGGTTGGGGCTCAAAGCTGGAGTCAGGCTGCCCGGCTTTGAACCCCAGCTTTACCACCCCTTCTCTGTGCCTCTGCTGTAAGATGAGGTGGTGGTAATTATCCCTGTTGCAGAGGGTCACTGAGCGGGTTGGGTAGCTGGGACATGCACCTGCTTGGAGGTGGCCTGCACAGGAGTTGCTACTGCAGCTGTCACCCTGGACTCTGCACTGGAATAGGAAGGAAACCTGGACTCAAACAGTAAAGTGCTTGTCCAAGGTCACACTTCTAGACTCTCACCCGGATTTGAACCCAGGTCTGGCAGCATCCAGGCTCTGTTCTGTACTTCCCGGGCAGTGTGGTGGACAGTGTCTGAGGAGATGGACCCGTTTCCCCCAACCCACTGTGGACAGATACTTCTGTAGAACACAGGAGCTGGTGCTTGGGTATCAGGGCACTGACAAATTGCTAAGGAAGTTTCTAAATGCTGACTTTTACTTCCTGTACTTAACCCAGACTGGCCTGGTCCATAGCCGCACCTGGAGTGGCGCTCTAGACCCAGCAGGGACCCAGACGGCCCCTCTGGAAGCAGAGACAAGTTCTGTAGGATGGGCTGGGTGTGTGCCATAAGGAGAAGTTCACGGTCAAGGGATGTGCAGGTGGGTGTCCAGGCCCAACCCCAGACAGCAGCCTCCTGTGCCCCTTGCCCTGGGCAGCATGGGCTCAGGGAGGCAGGGCTGGGCCAGGCCAGCATAGGTAGGGTCAGTACCACGAGCTTTCTGGGCACAGCCAGTGGCACATGTGGAAAATACAGTAACGCCCCAGGAGTAATCGACACGGGAACACGGAAGACAAGCGGTCCTGCCCCGTCTGGCCCTGCGTGCCTCCTTTTTCCTGCCTCCTCCTACCCTTTCAAATCTCATGGAAACACTTATCCAGTGACTTTATACCTGCTGAGGGAAACCTCCACATAGAGGAATCCAGCCTCTTGCTTCTTTGTAAACTGCCGAGATAGGAGACTCGTCGTCTGTGTGAGGAGTTTCTCTGCGTGTGGCTGAAAGGAACTGCTGCCTGTTTTTCATAAGTTATCTTATTTTGAAATCTTACCTAACATCCTCTTGCAAAGATGGATGCTTAGGCAAAAGACTAAATGAGATTTCCACATTATATGATACATTTCAACAGAATATTCTGAATACTTGAGTGGTTAAGAGAACCCCCCAATTTTTTGAGACAAAGTCTGTCAACCCGGACTTAAAAGAAGTCACATGCCATTTTGGCAGGAGGACTCTGTGTCCCCCTCATGCTCCACATTATTCCCTGATGAAGAGAGGAAGGGTCTGCCATGAGCTTTTTGGGGTGAGGGAGGAAGATGGGATTTTTAAATTATGTTTTTTATCATCATACTCCTGGGAAAAGATTCCTGGTTTAACGTAGTTAATAGAAATCAACCTTAAAGTCCACTGATTTGGTGGGCTGGATTTTTCTTCATAATAATAGTAATAGCTAATAATTTCCTGGGGGTTCTTCCTAAGTTTTGACACCAGTGTTTAAGTGCTTTCCGTTTAATTCTTGTATCAGCTTTCTCTCAAATAACATAAGGTTCCACAGTGAGCAACAGGAACCCAGCTTCATTGTCCTGGGTTCTTGTGTAGAAGTTAAATAGTTGTTAATAGAAATTAGTATCACATGACTTTTCAAATGAGTGTGGTTTCTGCATCGGATTCCATATGCTTAAAATAAGGATTTTAGATTTGATTTTGTCACAACTTTTTTTCTCCCATAAAATTAAGATTTCGCTTTCTAAGAAAACACCACCAGTTTACAGATGGGGAAACAGATTATTTGTCCAGAGAGGCACACAGCTGGCAAATGGCAGAGTTGGGATTTGCACCCGGGCGATTCTGCTGTGAGGAACCAGGCGGCAGGTGTGGCACGTGTCCCCAGCTCCAGACAAGGGGCAGGCCTCATACATGATCTGTAACTGGAGCTACAAAATCGGGTGCACTTTCATCCACTGTAACTGTGTGTGGTTGGTGCTACAACCAGATAGCAGTGCATAAAATCAACCACTGAATGCCACGTGAGCGTGCAGGACCGAGCCAGAGTCATCAAAGCCAGAACATGACAGTGGAGCCGGTTCCTTCCAAGTAAGAACATCGAGGGCTGAAAACTTTGCCATGTTAAGTATGTTCTTTTAAGTTCTCTGAAACCTGGCATTTGCATTGACGCACCAGATCTAAAGCACAGAGAGAAGGGATTAGGCCAAACATCAGAAGAGAAGGCAGCATAGAGGATGCTGCAGAGGGGAGGGAAAGAGGCAGCCCAGGAAGTGGGGTGCAGGGATGTGTTGAAACGAGGGCACCTCATACATTTAAGGAGGGGTGGTGAGCAGTGATGGGGCCAAAGCATTTCAAGTCTGTGTGCAGTCTGTATTCCAGTTTTTACAGGGTTCCAAGCAAGTGTGTCTCAATGCGGAATCCAATTGCTGTGTATAAATTACACTCCAGTCCCTTTAGGTCTACCAGAAGCTCTATTGAAACTGCAGTCTGGTGTTAATTGGTTGAAGGTGTTTGGCTCAGTTTTCCCTGTTCTCTTTGTAGCAAGGGTTTTGGAGAGCCCAGTGGCAGTGGCCAGTTCTCTCAGTACCCACAGAAGCTCAGAAGAGAAGGGCAAAGAAGAAATTGCATCCATAGGGAATTTATGGTTTATGATCACAGGTAACTTTATATACATCATGGGGCAGGTTATACCTAATTTTATGAAGAGGGGAAAATAAGGTTCAAGGTCACAGAACTAGCATGTGTCCCTTTGTGGCCCCAAGGACACAGATGATGCCACTCTGTGACCTGAGTGGCCATGTTCACAGATTCTTTAGAAATTAACCTGTCAGCTGAATGCTGATTTTATTTTCTTCAGATAGTTGATATTACTAAAATTTAAAAGCTTATACATTTAATGATACTTTATTATTTTTATGAAAGAATGCATTAGTCAGGATGCTTTTATAGTTACAGAAACCGTATTATTTAGGCTTAAGCGATGGCAGAGACTTTAACAAAAGTCCAGCAAATGCTGGAGCCAGAGGATCATGATGTAACCGAGTCCACCTCCACGGCTCAGCTCTGCTTTCTGGAATACAGACGTCATTCGCAAGCAAGCCGTCTCCACAAGGAGGCTGAAATTCCCACTCTCTCACACCCTTCCCCCCAGCTCCAGGGTACTATATCATGTCCAGCTAGTCATTCCAGAAAAAAGAAGATACCTTCCCAGCAGCTCCTGCCAAAGTCCCCTGACACATCTGATTGGTCGGGTGAGTCACGTGATGCAGGCACTCCAGACCACGGACTGTCCCTGCTGAGGACGGGGGCCGGTGCAGAGTTCTCCAAAGACAGGTGGAAAATGCCTGAGGTCTACCCCAGAGCAAGAAGTTCACTGGGTGAAGTATTAATATTGTGCCAGTGGAACTTTTTGTGCTTCATTCTTAAATAATGTGAGTATGCAGCTTTTATTTAAAAGCAAAAGGAAACCAAGAAGAGAATGTTAAAATCCAAGTTTCTCGGAAAAGCTGCATATAAAAGTGGACCCTAAGAACTTGAGTGTTCTAGAGCAGTGATTTTTCAAACTTTGGATCATAACCCTTTAGTGACTCATGAATCAATTTAGGGTGTCATGACCAGCAATTTTTTTAACATTTTTTTATTGAGTTATAGTCATTTTACAATGTTGTGTCAAAGACCAGTGTAGAGCACAATCATGACCAGCAATTGTAAATGAAATATAGTAGAAAATGTATATAGCACAAAGTAAGGTTATTTCCATTTCAGTGTCTATGAGTGGGTGCAGGGTTACAGTCTAACCCTGTTGGCTAGTTCACCTCTGAAAGAAGACAGGTGGTCACGTGGGTGATGGCCTGAGGTCTGACCAAATCCTGAGAAGTGACTCACTCAGGATTAATTAGAACTGTCTCGTCCCACCTCTGCTCCCTCCACCCTGTGAGACCTTAGGCAAGTCATGTGATGTCTCTGAGCCTTCATTTTCTCATCTGTTTAAGTAGGGCTCATACCTATCCTTCCTGCCTCATGGAATTCTAAGAATCACATGAAACGGTGCCCTTAAGCACTGACAAGAACTCCCTAAATATAAATCAAAATGATTCTTGTTAAATGCTGGAACTGGCAGTCTCTCCTAGGGGCACTTAGAGAATGGTTATTCAAGGGTCAAAAATAAAACTCATGCCTTCTGAAAAATTAGCTACTTCTTACAAATATTGCTTCCAAACTGCTAAAAGCAGATTGTTTCTGAAAGATGGTGGTAGACTGAAGAGTCCTGGCTGCAGCAGGGTGGCTGGCCCTCTGGATTCCACAGGTAGGGGGCTCTGTTCACGGGGAAGTCTCCCCCTCCCCCACCCCGCCCCCAGGCTCTCAGACACGCCCTGAACATCTGCAGAGCTGCCCCACTGCCTTCCTGCCCCAAGAGCACTGGATCTACCAGGCTGGCTGCCTCTGGGAAAGAGGGGTCCTCGCGGAGGCTGAGTGGGACTGAGGTGGGTGGGGGCGTCCAGGTTCATGTGAACCCCACCAGTGAGCTGATGCTTCAGCCCTGGTAGGAGGTCCATTTTACAGATGAAGAAACTGAGGCTCAAAGGGGTCTCTGAACTGCCCAAGTTTGCATTCTTGACAGAGTGAGCTCCTGGCTTCCTGGACTCCTCTGATCCACAAGTTGGACTCAAGAAATGAGCATCTTTAATTGTGTTTGGATTGGCAGAATCTGGTTTTCAAGAGGGGAATGATCCATGTGAGCTCAATGAGCCACTTAACACCCTCTAGAAATAACCGGTAAACACTTCTCAAGAACCCAGGAGTGCTGACTCCACTTTTCCATCCCCTTCTCTGGCATTCCAGGACACATTTGGCACCCCTTGGCCTCTAATTCCTCTTGGAGTGGTACTCTGGCTCCTGCTCAAAGCAGAACTGGGTGGCCTTAAAAGTAAGTGCAGGTGTGGGGAGAGGGGATTGGCTCCATCGACTTTTGGGGTTGATGGAAATGTTCCTATCATGATTGGAGGCATTGGTTACACTTTACAAACCACCTGAATTATACACCAAATTGGTCATTTTTATTGTATGTAAACTATAGCTCAATAAAGCTTTTAAAAATTCAAAGAATGTACATGTTCAGATACATGTGTTGTATGTGAAATTCTACATCAAAAGAAAAACTGGTTGAACTCTAGTTCAACACAAGTATTCAGGGCAAGTGTACTGATGTCTGCAATTTATTCTGAAATGCTTTTAAATGAGGTGTATTAAAGGATGAGTAGATATATGATAAAGCAAGCATAGGAAAATTTAATTGTACAATCTAGGTTGCGACTCAAAATTCTTTCTGGTGTATGTTTGAAAATGTCATTATCCAATGTTGCAGAGGAAACCAAATAACTTCAGGTTTCTGGCAGGGCCAAATAGCTCCTATTAAACCAACTCTTAAAAATGAAAAATATAAGCTTGAGGTGGGAGACTTCTTTTAAACAAGCTACTGAAAGGGATAAAAAGCAGGCAGAAACTGGAGAGGAGTCAACAGTTGAAGACACGTTGCGGGGTGAGTTTCCTGTTTTTCCACCACTGTTGGCCTGAGGTCAGGTCCCAGTCTGCACCACACAAGGCAGCTAAACCTCCAGTGGAAAATCTAGTCTTCCTTCCTTGAAGATCCAGAGTACAGGCTTTGGAGCAACCACAGCCTCTGAGAGTGAAAAGGGAAATAAAAGAAAAGAAAGCCAGAGAGGAGATTCCCAAATTCCATCTGTAAGCCCTATCACATCTCTGGCTAACCACTGAGCCATGCGTTCGC